ATATTTACTTCTACGGACAAAAATAAAGATAAATCCAAAAATTAGCTTTTTTTTTTTTAGTGGAATGCTAATGAGTTACACAAATATTCCTCTCACTTCTCAGGTCACAAAATCTACAAATACACTCAAATGCCTTTTAAACTGTAAAATAGCCATAGCACAAAAATCATTAAAGTATTTAAAAGTATGACTAGTTAACTTGATATTTCCTGTTTTGTGAGGTGTTTTGAATTAAAGTAAATTGTCACATTTCATGTGTTAAAGCTATTAACAAAAAATACATTTTAAATATTTTAAATTTTGTTTCCTCAAAATTGTCTCTACTTTGAAGTGGCAGATTTTTAATTGAAAAATAACATCTGAATACTGAAGTAAGATATTACCAATATTGAAGTAGGATATTACCAATATTGAAGTAGGATATTACCAATATTGAAGTAAGATATTACCAATACCGAAGTAGATATTACCAATATTGAAGTAAGATATTACCAATATTGAAGTAAGATATTACCAATACCGAAGTAAGATATTACCAATATTGTTACTTCAGTATTGGTAATATCATACTTCGGTATTGGTAATATCATACTTCAGTATTGGTAATATCTTACTTCAGTATTGGTAATATCTTACTTCAATATTGGTAATATCTTACTTCGGTATTGGTAATATCTTACTTCAGTATTGGTAATATCTTACTTCAGTATTGGTAATATCTTACTTCGGTATTGGTAATATCTTACTTCAGTATTGGTAATATCTTACTTCGGTATTGGTAATATCTTACTTCAGTATTGGTAATATCTTACTTCAATATTGGTAATATCCTACTTCAATATTGGTAATATCCTACTTCAATATTGGTAATATCTTACTTCAATATTGGTAATATCTTACTTCAGTATTGGTAATATCATACTTCAGTATTGGTAATATCCTACTTCAATATTGGTAATATCATACTTCAATATTGGTAATATCATACTTCGGTATTGGTAATATCATACTTCAATATTGGTAATATCTTACTTGATATTACCAATACTGAAGTAAGATATTACCAATATTGAAGTATGATATCACCAATACCGAAGTATGATATTACCTCTGTATGCTCACTTTCTAAAACATAACTAAATTTACCATTTTTCTAGAAACGCTAAGAATCATCAAATAAAACAAGACCATCTTTACAAAGATTACTTTATATCATTATTTTGTATGAAAAGTAACGATCAATGAAATTATATGAAACAGAATGTGTCATCAAGAAACAACTGCGAATTAACCTCACAAAATTATAATCAAAATATCCAAAAACTGGAGAAAAACAAAGGTACAATATACTCGTGTTTCTTGAGAAGCCACAAACACAACTAGATACTTTAGGTTTTATGGAGAGCAGGATAGTTATTGAAACTCTTAAAACAGTGTGTAAATCTGTGAAAAATAAATTATTTTTAAACATCACTCAGTGTTCAGAGAAATTTTCCAATTATTAAACCACACTTATTTATCTGAAGGAGGAAATAACGTGAACATAATAACCGTAAAAGGGTATACCTTATAACAATAAACTACACATCAAAGCTTTAACAATAAAAGTTTTCAACTAGCTTGAAACACACACTATTAGAAATACGTACAGGGGTAAACTGGCTAAAACAGATTATTTACAGGTTGATAGTTATGAAACTACACCAACTCACTCAAAGTGTACAATCAGTAGCAAAAGTAAAATACTTACAGTATGGAATGAGTACACCTATTGTGCTAAACATTTATTATCACAGCTCAACCGAGATTGACATCAAATCAACTAGAGAAATGTCAGTTATAATTCAAAACATCTTACTAAACTGCTCTTCTGTGAACAATCACTCGTCACTACTTTACAAAGTCAAAGTTCGTTGTTCAGACTTATTTAAGTTTTTTGGCACTAGCTCTGCTGACGGCCGTATTTAGCTGGTTGGCTCGATGTATCACCATCAGTCCTATCACGATCATCATAATGCCAGTCCACCACAGGAAAGTGAGGGTTTCCCCAAAAAACACTTGTCCAAAGACGGCCTGCAAAAAGTCAGTTTTAATAAACCATAACTAGGGTTTTTATTTTATTCAGTACAAACTGTTTGTACCCAAAAGAAATCACTGATAATCCTTTCTAGTTCGAACCACTTTATTTAAAAAAAAAAAAAGATAACTAAAATTAGAAACGTTAGCCTATATTATTATTAAAATATTTATATTTTGGTAATGTTTTAAACACCTATAATACTTGACTTTACTAAAATACTGTTCAACTTTTTTCTTGGGAAATGTACCGACATCATTTGGAGTTGGATAATTTGATCCATTAACATAACTGATTACCTACAAGTAGCAGCTGTATCATGTTAAAAAATTAATCAAAATTTGAATTAAAAACGATAAGAACACCATGTTGAACTGGTTAACACCCTCCTGGAACATGAAGGTATTGAGTAAATGAACTGACCGGCAAGGTCACTAGAATTAAATCCAGTTGAACGTACATGATTCAGCTGTGAGGCATGTTACCTTGTTATTGGTTAATAAACAGATGGTCTACAGGTCTGCATGTTACCTTGTTATTGGTTAATAAACAGATGGTCTACAAGTCTGCATGTTACCTTGTTATTGGTTAATAAACAGATGGTCTACAGGTCTGCATGTTACCTTGTTATTGGTTAATAAACAGATGGTCTACAGGTCTGTATGTTACCTTGTTATTGGTTAATAAACAGATGGTCTACAGGTCTGTATGTTACCTTGTTACTGATTAATAAACTGACCTTTGTTCAACTGAACACATGTCATTAAGTTTGATGAGTAATGTTGACTAGTTATTAGTTGCTATTTATCATCAGTTAAACCTAAATTAAAAATAACTAATGAACAAAGTATTAGAGCTTACCTTATAGTTTACTGACAGTCGTACAGAACTAATTAAATCAGAATCTGTAGTCAGAGAAACTTCTGTACACCAAGTATTGGCCAACGCTCGCAAACTAATTAAATCAGAATCTGTAGTCAGAGAAACTTCTGTACACCAAGTACTGTCCGACGCTCGCAAGCTAATTAAATCAGAATCTGTAGTCAGAGAAACTTCTGTACACCAAGTACTGGCCGACGCTCGCAAGCTTAAATACCCAACTATTGGCTATTCTCGTGAGATGACCAAAGACAGTAGAATCTTTTATTGTAATGAGGTGTTAGATAACTTAACAGTTGAGGAATTATACAACATTTTGTAAACATGAATGTAATTTACCTCAACCAAGTGTTCAATGGTAACCTTGGTTTCGTAACTAATGAAAGTTTAGAACGATCAGTTAGTAATGGGTTTAAATTTTGGGAACATCATTCAAAGTTAGCTGGAAATATAACAGCAGATAACTAGTACATCATTCAGTGGTTTTATTTATATAGAAAAAAAATAGGAATTTAAAGTAATACAATTTAGAAAATGGGTTGAGAAAGTTAAGGATACAATCTATAAGATACTTAAATAAATGGTGAAAATCTAGGTTATTTAGTTAGTAGATACGATATCAGTCGAGCTGATAAAGCAGCTAATGGCTTCGATTTCATATGAAAACAGTTTATGTTACAATTATATGTGAATAACTAGAAAACGTTAAAACCTATGAATAATGAGATTTAAAAGCATGTTAAAACTAACATGGAAAGTATCATACATAAACACAGTTTTGGTGTACATTCTACTAACTCTTACAAGCTAAATAAGATACCACACAACTAAGGATAGGTAATGGTCCTAATTACATTAACGAGCAGTTAAAAAACATTTCGTAATTCTACTGAATGACACAAGAAAATTAAAGGCCTTGAAGCTATAGCAATAGAAACATTTGAGTTTAGTAATGTTTACACCAGTCTTACTATTGGTAGAATTAATTATTTCAAGGTATTTTAATAATTCTGGTAAACTAATGACCTGCATCAGTAGACAAAGAATCCTTTACGACAATTACTGTCTTATATCAAATAAATTCTTACAAGACACGTATTTGTTTACTTGACAACCTGTTCGTGCAATTTGAACGACATGACTTTCGAGATAGTCAAGGAATTCTAACGCCAGCCCACAGGTTCAAGATATACATTTATTGAAACTCGCACACAAACCTCAGTAAGAAAGGCTTCTAGCTAAGTACCAAATTTATTTAATACAACTCACAGTGAAAGAAAAAAAATCTCTTGAACTAGAAACAAAAACATT